AAGTGAAGGCATAATGAGAGGAGGCAGCGTGCAAATTGATGTCGCGAAATGGAAGAACGGAGGCAGCCATTGTTGGGCGATGACCCACTACGTGGGATGAAGAAGCTCAGAAGAAGGGAGAGTTACTAAAAAAGAAGTATAGATCAGGAAAGGGTGAAAGAGTGTGTTAGAAAAATTCAGCGCATATTGCGCAAGAGGAATGGGGGGAAAGTGAGAGGGAACGGAAGGTGAGAGGCACGAATGAACAACAGGCAGAGACGTAATTTCAGGGAACCCCGGGATGATCTCCAGGGAGGCTCGGGAGCAAGAGAAACGGAGGTACCTCACAGCACCTCGTTGTGCCAGCATGTGCTGGTGGTGATAAGCAAGGCTGGCGCGGACGGAATCGGCCAGGGCCGCCACACCGCCCCGCAGAGCGGCCAGTCGGCTTGGGCCAGGTGTGGCTGAATCCCTTCGTCATCTACCACCGACAGGCCGCCATCAAACCTCCCAGCATCCCGAGTCCGCCTCCAATACTTGTTTCCTCCCTTCATCTCGATCTATCCACCTCATCCAGCTCCCCCCTTTTGTGCTTATATCGTGGGCGCTATTCTCTCTTGACTTATTCTCGTTAAAGTTGTTCTTTTGACCATATCGACTATGGCCTCCAGAGCCGCAGCAGGCGCCCGTCCCGGGGCCAGGTTCGCTCAGTTCAAGCTTGTATTGCTGGGTTGGTTTTCCCCCTGTTATTGGCCCCACTATAGTATGCGTCAAAAGTACTGACATGTTGTTTTCGTTCGCCCTATCTAGGAGAGTCCGCAGTCGGAAAGGTTGGGATTTTGTAATTTTCGGGGTTCTAAATAGCGGTCGCTGACTATCTTGCTCCACAGAGTTCGCTAGTACTGAGATTCGTCAAGGTGGGATAAGTCGTCCTTATTTCCGGAAATTTTTCTACAAGGGAACGATTTTCCGGATAACTTACTGGGGCTAACACTGCATAGGATCAATTCGATGATTACCGCGAGTCGACCATTGGCGCCGCCTTCCTCACACAAACCATCTCCCTGGACGAAAGTACGACAGTCAAGTTCGAGATATGGGATACAGCCGGCCAGGAGAGATACAAGTCTCTGGCTCCCATGTATTACAGGAACGCCAACTGCGCGGTCGTTGTGTACGATATCACTCAGGCTGTATGATTCCCGGCTCGACCTCCTCCATTCCTATGGTAACTAATCAATCGTAACGTTGAGCAGTCGTCACTGGACAAGGCCAAGTCATGGGTGAAGGAATTACAGCGTCAGGCAAACGAGAATATTGTCATCGCCCTTGCAGGAAACAAGCTTGATCTCGTGACGGAGAGCCCGGACAAGAGGGCCATTCCTACGGCTGACGCCGAAGCCTATGCACGTGAAGCTGGTCTTCTGTTCTTCGAGACATCTGCAAAGACCTCCTCGAATATTAAGGAACTATTCACAGCAATCGCGAAGAAGCTCCCTCTTGACCAGGCAGGTCCTCGAAACTTGCGCACAACTCCCCGTCCTGGTGTCGATCTGCGGCCAGAAGCACCCGGTACCCAAGGTGCCGGTTCCTGCAACTGCTAGGCTTTCCAAGTGGCGTATACTAAGTAACTGTTGTGTGTCGAGTCCTCGATCTAATCCACCTTTCTTTTCCTTTCCTCCTTTCGCATGGGCTATTGTTAGATGCAGGAGATGTGTGTCTTCTAGCTTGACTGTGAACCGGCACGCTGGGCAACAGTATGCAACCCGTCAGCGACTTTGAACAAGACTGTTTTATGGCTTTCTAATGGTGCCGTGATTACTGCAACTTTGGCCGACCGGCGTCGTATAGGTGTCTCTTGCTTTCCAGGGGATTCAATCATCCCTACGGATTTGAACATGATGATCTATCCAGTCATCATCAGTCTTTCTCACTGCACACTGGTCTGACAAGACGAAGATTTCAAATACCGTCATTGGATGTGGAGGGAGAGCTTAATACTGTACTGGCACGGTTGGATTTGACTGTCTAGACATTATGCCACAGGGATGGACCTATGATTTCTTTGTTCCGCGTTGTTCTCTGTGTCTCTGCTTCCTCGTTCCTGGCGTCTGTATCCTTTTGAATGGGTTGAATTCATGTCACTTTCTTACTTTTTCTTTGTGTTCTTCCTGAGACTCTCAGTATGCTATGCCTATATAATACTTCACCTTCAGTCATCGGATCTGAACTAGCCATCTACTAATTCCAGTGGCATACACATAGTAGGTGTTTGGTGCATGGTGAACCTCGTAGACGCAAAGATCAGATAAAGTTTATAAGATAGAACAATTAGTTATTGCTACTGATACAAAGCTAGTTTGTGGGCAAGATAATGTCCTGCAGCATTGGATAAGACAGCTAGCTCGGTCTATCCGGACAGCCGGCGCGGGCGGTGCGAAGTGACCCGAGCTGAGCCACTCTTTGGCGGTGCAGGATCGGAGCGGATCGTAAAAGCACCTATCCCAATTCCGGTCCGCGTTTTCACTCCCATCAACACCAACCCCTCAACTAAGCCAGCTCCCAGCGCTCATCTCCATGGTAGTGCGGCCCATGATGCTGCGCTCTTCTGTTGCACCGGGACGACAGTTGCTGCTGTCCTCCGCTCGTCAGCGGACCGCCTCCCAATGGCTGTCCAGAGCCGGAGCAAGCAGCCGGCTTTCAGGTCAGGTACGGTGACGGCATCCGCAGTCGAGTCATAAACATCCTAACTAATCTCGTCTCAATTCTCTGCAGAGGTTCTTCGCCGATATTAAGCCCCCTACCACCGCTGCTCCTACGCCCGCTACTCCGTCTTCCGAGTCTGCTGTTCCCCCAGAGACCGTCCCTAAGCCATCACCCACCGGGCAAGGTACGAATGCTCTGATCAGTTGAGTCGCAAGCTTCCCCAGTGCTGATGTACGACAGAGTCCACTCTCCCTCCCTCTACTCCTCCTACCCCAGCTCCTAAGGGTGGACGCTTCCGCAGATTCCTTCTCTACCTGCTGCTTACCTCCGGATTCGCATACGGTGGCGGCGTTTTCCTGGCTTTGAAGTTCGATAACTTTCACGATTTCTTTACCGAATACATTCCCTATGGTGAGGAGAGTGTCCTTTACTTCGAAGAGCGTGACTTCTATCGTCGATTCCCCAACACTCTGAGAAACCAGAACCGCCTTAACCCGACCCCAAGGGATGAAGGAAACAAGATCACCATCCCAAGCAAGAGCGGACTTACCTCGAAGGTCGCCGAGGAGGAGACCTCGGGAGCAGATGTTTCCCAGAAGGGCCCCCATATGAGTGCCACTCCGGCTCCGAAGAGCTCCGAAGCGCAAATCAAGCCCGCCGCCGCTAAGCCCGAGGACAAGACCACAGCTGTTGTGAAGGCCAAGGAGGAGAAGGCCGCCAAGGTTGCTGAGGAGGAACCCAGACAACCGGCGATTCCTGCTGTTACCCCTCTCGAGTTTGCTCAGGTCAACGAGGGAGATGAAGCGATCGTCCAGGAGCTCGTGAAGACGTTCAACGACATGATTACCGTCATCAGCGCTGATGAGAACTCCGGCAAGTACTCTCAGCCCGTGGCCAAGGCCAAGGAGGAACTCCAGAAGGTTGGAGAGAAGATCATCGCTGTTCGTGAGGAGGCCCGTCGTGCCGCTCAGGAAGAGATTCAGCAGGCCCATGCTACTTTCGATGAGTCCGCTCGCGAGCTCATCCGCCGTTTTGACGAAATGCGTGCGGCCGATGCCGCCCAGTACCGCGAGGAGTTTGAGGCCGAGCGCGAAAAGTTGGCCCATGCCTACCAGGAGAAGATCAGAACCGAATTGCAGAGGGCTCAGGAGGTGGCCGAACAGCGCCTCAAAAACGAGCTGGTTGAGCAAGCCATTGAGCTTAACCGCAAGTACCTGCACGAAGTCAAGGAGCTCGTGGAGCGAGAACGTGAAGGCCGTCTCAGCAAGTTGAACGAACTCACCGCCAACGTCAGTGAGCTGGAGAAGCTTACATCTGGCTGGAGAGAGGTCATTGACAGCAACCTCAGGACCCAACAACTCCAGGTGGCTGTTGATGCCGTGCGCTCCGTTGTTGATCGCTCTGCCGTTCCTCGCCCCTTCGTCCGCGAGCTTGTCGCCGTGAAGGAATTGGCCGCTGAGGACCCCGTTGTTGAGGCTGCCATCTCTTCTATCAACCCTGCTGCTTACCAGCGTGGAATCCCTTCGACCTCTCAGATCATTGAGCGCTTCCGTCGTGTCGCTGATGAGGTGCGCAAGGCCAGCCTTCTGCCCGAAGATGCAGGTATCGCTAGCCACGCTGCCAGCGTTGTTCTGAGCAAGGTCATGTTCAAGAAGGATGCTGTTGCCGGTAGCGACGATGTGGAGAGTGTGCTGTACCGGACCGAGAGCCTTCTGGAAGAAGGTAACCTCGATGCTGCAGCTCGTGAGATGAACAGTCTTTCGGGATGGGCCAAGATTTTGAGCAAGGACTGGCTTGTGGATGTTCGCAGAGTGTTGGAAGTTAAGCAAGCTCTGGAGGTAAGGATTTCCCCTAAAAGTTCCTGTCTGTCTAAATGATATCGAACTGACATATTCTATCTACAGGTGATCGAAACCGAGGCGCGTTTACAATGTTTGAGGGTTGAGTAGAGAAATAATTCTCCCGACATCATTTTAGCTTTCTTGTACCTCATGCCTCCTATCTACAGGACTTGTACCTCTAGTTGTCCGCCTGCGTTGTTAGAGTCAATGCTAGATATTTTCCTTTGTATATTGTATACTAGTTGGGAGCTTTAAGCGCTTTTTCTAAAAGAATCCCACTGCTGCACCATGTACGTGTGGTGTGGAGCATCTTGTCAGCTATCTGATAAAGTCGATAATCAAGTCTGGGGAATGCTTAATATTGATGGGGATTGTTTGCTGTGTTTGCAGTTCCACGTGGGCCGCGGCGCATGATGCACCTGCTGCCTACTGATGAAGTAGCGATCGTCAGACTAACATCTGGACAACGAGGACGAGGGGGTGTCCAGATTAGTTCTCCTAGATGGTTGTTTTTCCTTCAGGAGCCATGACTGAACTCTAGCGATTTCTCGCATATCTCCATGTCGGCCTTTCCTCGTGGACGTTGCCCCCTTTCCTATCCCGCGGGACGGACCACTTCGTCACCATAGCTTTTAATGTCGCCGAAGACCAATGAATCCTATCCACCTACACCTCCTATGCCCCAGACCGATGAGACACAGCCAGATTACCACACACGCTACCATACATCTAATGATAACTCCGACCGACAAACGGGTGCGCACATGAACGAGGGACGAGCGAGCGGGGAGCTAGAGGGCAGCACCCTCGGTAGCAGCTCTCGGGATGGCGATAAAGGAGGCCGGGCCCAACGCCGAACGGCCAGCTCCGGCGGCTTCCTAGTCGATTCGTCTTTTCTACCCAGGTCGAAGAGCTTGCGTGCAAGCCAATACCTCCCTCGCCGCTCAGAATCCAGCCGCAAGGAGAAGCGTGAAGCACCCGAACCTGAATTGGTAGTTCCGAAGAAGCGATCACGATTCCCTTGGATTCGGCATAAAGAGCAGAAGGTATCCCAAGTAGAGCAGGCGGAGCATACCAATCATACGGAGCATACGGAACCCACAACAGCGGAGGAGACTCCTGCTTCATCGAATCTGGAGCAGGATGCGGCTTCCCAGGAGTCGCATAGCAAGCAGACGGACAATCAGGACACCATAGGTCTTGATAGGGATTCGCTCCAGATAGTGAATCTTGCCTTGAATTTGAGCGAGTCGAGGAAAAGGAATAGCCTGGGTCGCTCTGCTTCAACTCGTCTTTCGGGAGGTAGATGGGCTCTGGCAGGTGGGCAAACATCCGCTCCATACACTGGTAGACATGCATCGGTTCCAGTAACCGACCTGGGGCATGGCGGCTCTCAACATGGCCAGAGGGTCACACAAGCACCGGGTGAAGATCTTACCAGAATAGTCGACTCCAGTCAACTGGGCGGACCGTCGACTCATGCGCCATCTTCAGTGGCAAGTCTACTTCCACATTCCGCTGGATCGGAACCCTTGCCGCAGGGCTTCTCAGAGAGCACACTTGCTCGAGCCGAGAAAGCTCGCCGCCATTTTGAGCTATTTTCGGAATATCTCCGACTACTTCCTTCTCTTCCTCCTCTTCAACCGATTGACGATCAAACTGCCGATTCAACATCTGTGCATAGCAGTGGCTTTGCATCACACCGGGTCTACAATCCTCTTCAGTGTATTCGCAATCGCAAAGTGAGATTTCGTGAGCGATGTGCAATAGACACGGAGGCAGCGGGGTGGTACGATACGGAGAAGGTACATCAGTGGGTTGATTCAGTGCAAGCTGAATACAGCCAGCAGCCGCATGGTCCCCTTGAATGTCTGCGGCTTCCATCGTTTCATAATTGTAAAGATGCTACACCGCGTGCAGAAGTAGACGAACCTGATCATCTTGCCGTCTCTCCTCCTTCAAGTCTGAGACGTGCTAGCCGCGCTAGCAGTGTCAAAGCACGCAGGCCACGGTCAGACTGGGTCATCGACCCCGCAGAGTTCCTTTACGATGCCGCATGGGTTGAGGAAAGGCACAATAAGGGTAAGATCGTTGATAGAGACGGGAATCATCTCTACCCAGATCCTTCGATTCTCATTACTCCTGATGATGATCAGACGCCCATTGAACCACCGCAGCAGCTACAGAATAATCGGCAATCGCTAGACTCGGAACACCCCACTTCTCGTACCTCCTTGTCTGATTCGCGCTCGGTTTTGGCGACAGAATTCAATAGAGTCGGGCGTGGACGGCGTCGGCACAGGTTCCACGGCTCTGGCCGTAGTGGACATGAAACCGAAGGATCAAGGAAAATGACAGGCTCTAAGAGGCATAAACTCGGCCTATTATCAAGTAGCTCTTCGAGCATCTCTAGTGCTGAGGGACGTCAGTACCGGGAATCGCCAATGGATAATACGTTGTCCTCTGAGAGGGATGTGTCCCCACTGCCCGACGCCTCACGACTTCGAGCCTCTGAGGTGCTCTCAGAATATGACACCGCCATGAATACCAGACTGACGCCAACCCATGACACTTTTCCTCGTTATGTGACCGGAAGATCTCCTACTTGGGCTCGGTCAGAGGGAAAGCGAAGTTCTATATCCTCTATTCCAAGTGTTGATGACCGCTACGACCCCTTGACAACCTTATCAACTGCAGAAAGCAGGTCTCCCGAGCTCCATGCGCAGGTCGGCATGTTTCCAAGTATCGCATCCAACCTATCCCCACCGGCAAGCCGTTCGCCGTCGCCTACAAAAGGCCGCTTCTCGCGTGCTATTGGTGCTCGACATGAGCGGAGTAAGAGCAACATTCGGGCAAAGGATATTGCAGATGATAGCTCCCTGGAGTCGGCGGCTTTGCGCAAGGATACTTCAACTGGGCATCCCGAGGGTATTCCCCAAGGTGGAAGGCTGGAACCAAGCCCGCTTCCCGATCGAATCTCTCCAGTATTTCAGGAAGACCCATCAAAATTCAACTCACAAAACCGCAAAGACGCAGTACAGGGCGAATCCAAGCTGCGTGGAATATTCAAAGGCCCTGGGAAGATCGCAGAGAAAGTGGGCAACGAAATGTCAAAAGTAGGGGATCTAATACTTAAAAAGGATACCGTCGCCCAGTCACGGAGATCTTCCGTTTCAAGCACTGATAGTTCTGTTTCCGATCCTCCTGATGATCCCGAAGAAGCTAGAGGTGATAGAATGTCTGGCGCCAAGTCTCTTTTGCGCCGGTTTCCTACGTTCTCCGACGATGCCAATCGAACTTCACGCAGGAATCTTGAGAAGATCAGTTCGAAGACCCATGTGCCTCCTATGTCTCCCTTTGTCTCCACGCCTCGGCATGATCGATTAGAAGAACATCAATCGCCTGTCTACGGCAGTCCTTCGAAGGCCGGTGCTGACATCGACACGACGGACTCACAGAGAGAAGTGGGTGGGTTTTCTACATCTCTCCATACGCCAGCAACCCGTCATGAGAAACTACGATTTGGCCCTGATATTCATACTGTGCCAGAACAATTCAGAAAGCGTAACATCAGGGATGTCGGTGTTCCCTTCAGTTTGACAAGGCCTCCTGTCACGGGTCTTGCTCAAGCGAGAGCAGACACTACTTCATCGTCCCAGGAAAAACGCCCAAGACTGGTAACTGAGTCAAGAAGCTGGAGTATCTCTAACCGCAGCTTATCTAGCTCGCTTGTTGTTGGTGTTCCGGGGAAGCGCGAGATTGAGCGCACCCGAGCCTTTCTTCTTTCTTCGGGAATTAAAGCTCGAGAGATCACCCGCCGAGCAGAATGTGTGCGGCGGCCACCACCAGACTTCCTTCGGCGCACATTTGGTACGGAAGCATCCGTACCTCAAGTAAGTCGGCTTTATGAGTACGATGTAGCCGCACAGGGCCTGCTCAGAAGCTTCGAGAAAACACATCGTTCGTTCCAACAATCCATAGACAATTTCTCTGGCTCGGTCTCATCTCCTTTAAGATCGCAACTGAACAAACTCGAGGACATCGTCAATGAGACGATTTCCCCGCGTGTTCAGGCAGCCACACAGGATGCGGAGGACTTGAGCATTCAGCTCAACACCACTAGTACGCTTGCTGTTAAACAGCTGAGCGATACACTTGACAAAGGAGTCAGGAGGCGTCATCGCCGGCTGCGCTGGGTACGGCGCACTGGGTTCGTGATGCTCGAATGGGCATTAGTTGGTATGCTCTGGTGGGTTTGGCTAATTGTGATGGCTTTCAAGATCTTGCGAGGCGTTTTTCGGGGTGTTCTTTCAGGTGTCAGATGGGTCTTGTGGTTGTGAATGCAAACTGAGAAGAAAGGCTGTTGTTTCCTCGTTATTATACCCCTGTCAGATCTCACATGTTCCTAGCGTTTGTTCCCTTTTCTACATCACTGATATTCGTTTCACAATACTTGTATTATATAGCTTTTTTATGATTGATAATTACTTTAATGTCTTCATGAAACTTGTGGCGAAGGTAGCCAATTGTCCAAGGCATTGCCGTAAACACCGTCATTGTATCCTCTCTAGCATAGTACGGCCAGAACAGTCCTTTCATGTCCTGGAAGGACAATAGTTGCTGAGAATAAAGGAATTCATATCTCACAGCAGAGGATTGCCGATATACATGGTAGTGTTTCTGCGGATCAGGTGACGCTGTCTAACTGAAACTCACTTCCTTTCATTGATAACTGGGAGTTCTTCACCTGTCCACGGTCATCGTCGTGACGACGATAGAATATCATACATTCGTATATAACATTCTCGCCCGGCCCCTGTTCCTCGAGCTCTTTTTCCTGCTCGGTCCAAGCATGCCGTCCCCATGCAGCAGACCCCGGTTCAGACAAAAGAAGAAGCCGCAACAAACTGAAACATTGACCGTAAGCCTACTCTTTGTTTTGACATAAGGAGAACTCCCAATGAGCCTCAGCTCATATCCAATATTTCTTGCTTCACAACATATAAACAGTTGGAAACCTTCCAGCCCCCACTTCGTGTTAGCATCTTACAACCCATGCAATATTGGCACTTGTTTCAAATCCCACAGTCAACAATCATATCACATTTCTCCCTCCATAGTCCCTTCCCCCACCCTCCTACTATACCCTCCGTCGACTACCTACCTATCTCCTACATTCTTCCCAATAAACTAAATAACTATTCACAAAAATAATCACAACCACAACTATCTTTAACTAGCCCCCTACGGAAATGTCCCTACCGTCACAACGCAAATTCAACTTGAATGCCAACAAGGCAAATCCCGCGGTGAGTGGAGGGCTTAGGCGTTCAAATGCACAGCATCGCAAACACCAAGATCTGGTCCCCCTGATGTTCGACCCTGCACAGGCACTGACATTTGACCAGTCGTCAAACAGCTGGAAGAGACAGGAGTTCAAGCAGGATCCTCTGAACGAACTTACTATCCGTCCTGGTGCGGAACAATCGCGAAACAAAGATAAGGGCAAGCGTCCAGCGAATATGAATGCATGGTCGGCCAAGTGTGGTGGTGTTTGTTCGACAACGACGACGATGAGCTCGAAGAGTAGTACTAGCCTCAACCCTGGAAGTGTTAGTAGCAGTGGTCAGTTGGCTGGTCCGACTCGTGAGCGCGGAAAGATTGAGACGGATCCGAGCAAGGTGCGGTGGCCTTTGATTGGGGTTAGGCGTTGATTGTTTGGGAGCATGTTGGGGCTGAACGGCTGGTTCCGTTCGGGTTGTTTATCTGAGATTATTTGAATCATTGGGTTGGATTGACTTGCAGCGCTTCTGGTAGCTGCTATGAATACGAATGTATGAGTACATGAATCATGTGGTTATGTCGTCTTTTAGTGGCTTGGTGAAGTTTGGTCTTGGAGTTTGATTGTTCATTGTTGGGCTTTTTGTGATAGTACAGTAGTGGTAATAGTGACGATGTCTCCTCTTAAAGCCTGATGCATGAGGTATATCAAACCTATTGATAGCCTTGATTTCTGCTTTTTGCAATCATCAATTCACTAAAGTCAGCAGTCGGTGAGATTCAGTTTATATGTCTTGGCCCATACGATGCTACTAAGTGATTAGCAGGCAGTGCCCTACCACATGATGCCGTAAGATTGCTGGTCGTATCCCATGATCCGTGCCTCCAGCTGAGATATATTTAGTACAGTAGGACGAACGGATCACTAGTAAGTAGAATAGTGGTTGGTTTGCCACTCATGACTCAGGCTACGTAGCATTATAAGAGACAAAAACAATACAATTCTGTTTGACAAGCAATACCTATTGTTACCATTTGGATGATCCAGGACCTAACATTGATCTTGATGGGTGGTGCAAATAGGATATCCATCACGTGCCACATGACTGTAGATCAGGGTCAATCACCGCCCGGGTGGAGCGGATAGAATACTGCCGACCGATGAGCCACGGCGGTCAAGCTTTGTGAGCCAATGGACAGGCGGCTAATAAGACGGGCATCAGAAAGACGGACGGCAGCGCGTCATGCCGCACTTTCCAAGAAACAGGCTTAAGTGGCGAAACCAGGAACAGTCTGTTCCGGGCCTATACTACCCATGTACGACCTGGTATAGCCGGTTCAAATTCTAGCTCGCGGGATGGACTTGACCGGTCCTCTTTCTTCAGAACCGAGGGACCACTAATCTGTCTTCCTCGCCAGTCGCGCGGGAAGTACGGCGTAGCACTCATCGATCTAGATAGTACGGATGACGCATCCCGGGGGGCAGGTGCTGAGAAGTAGTCGTCCTCTGATGATAAGCAGAGGCATGTGGTTCGAGAGAAAAAGTGACTCAAATTGTCTGGTACACTAGTAATCTGGCCGTAGGTCCAGGATTCAGACGACGGATCTTCAGGGACTGATCTATTGGAAAGTTGAGGGAAAATCGGGAGGGCATCAGGCCGAATCAACAATCAAGGGGATCTGCCAGGTTCCCATGGGACAGGAGACAGGCAGCAAGATTGAGACCACGTCAACCATTACTGGCGGGAAGAGAGAGAAAGTAACCATACTGTGTGAAGGGCAGAGATCCACTCCGGGGTACGTTGAGAGTGAGGGAAATAATGATGGAAGAGCGAAGTAGAGACGGAGGTAAGATACATACTATACATACTATACATGACCATACCGAGCGGTGACGGCGGAGGGGCACGGTGATTCGGGAGATGCCGTAATCTCCCCCCCCCACGAGAACCACTCTCTCATTCCTCCATTCTGTCGCTGCTTTTTCTCTCTTCGACTTCGTCTGCATCGTCCCTTTGTTGCGTTCCCCCGTGCACATCGAGCCATTGTGGTAAGTCTTCATCCGTTCTCTCGTTCCTTGCTGGGCTACCTGCAGCGCTCGGCCTTCCTCGTATTATCGACTCATCGAGATCGTTC